AGAACTGAGTTGATTTGGATCAGAGGCAACCTCAACGCTCAAATTTATGCTGAGACGATTGTATCAGACGTCATCGTTCCTCTACAAGTGCAAATCGGTCCCTTATTTCAGTTAATGCATGATAATGCACGACCGCACACCGCAAGAGTTGTAAGACAGACTCTCGCCGCAGCTAACATCAATGTCCTGCCCTGGCCTGCTCAGTCGCCAGACTTGAACCCGATTGAGCATGCATGGGATATGCTACAGAGAAGAGCTCTGCCGAATATGGAGGGTATCCAGTCGCAAGAAGACCTTTTTTTGTTGTTGCAACGAACATGGGCGGCCATTCCACAGCGTGATTTGGATGAACTCATTTTGAGTATGCCAAACCGATGTTCTTGTGTTGTTAGTGTTCGCGGTAGAAATACGGATTATTAATTGTTTAAGTTACCCAATAAAATTTTAGAGAAAACTGTTATTTCAGTCTTTTTTTCGAACTTTTGTGTTAGTGGTTCAAATGTCAAAAATCCCTTTATTAGGAAAATGGCAAATTTCTTTATTAATGCAAAGGTGACTTGGTTTATCGTTACTGTGACAAACGAAAACACTTTATTTGATGAATCCTTAAAGAAAATTTTAATTAATATCAATCAGGAGAAAAGTTATTGCAAAAATATATGTTGATCCCTAGACACTTTTGATGTGTGTAGTTAAACATGGGGGCGGAAATATCAAATTTTGGGGATGTTTCTCAGGACTTGGTGTTGGACCTGTCAGGAAAATAGAAGGCAACATGGATAAATTTAAGTACAAGAATATTTTTAGAACAAGCCATGCTGAGCTATGCCGAGCAAAATTTACCGGTCATTTGGACTTTCCAACAGGATAATGATCCAAAGCACACTGCAAAAGTAATAAAAGACTTTTTAAGGAACCAGTCTGTGACAGTTTTGGATTGGCCCCCGTACAGTCCTGATTTGAACCCCATAGAAAATTGGTGGTACCAGGTGAAGAAGACAGTGGCGACAAAACGGACATCAAACATCGAAAAAATTTACACAGCATTTAGAATTTTTAGAAAATTATGGCTTCCATGCCCAAGAGATGTCCTGCTGTCATGTCTGCCAAAAGACATGCGACCAAATATTGATACGTTCTGGAAAGTTTTGTAAATGTGTTAATATTGTGTAATAACAATATTTTTTTCTATTTCTTCTAAGCAAATCGAATGTCTATAATTAGCTGGCCAGCTACAAGTACGTTAAAAAGTTTGTGTTATGTTCCCATAGTGAGCAGTGTTTAAACTTTTAACGAACACAACTATTATTTGTCCCACATTGTAAGAATACAACGTCGTGTATAGTTTAATAGTAACTACACTAGACTAGATACCAATTATAGCTAATTTTAGTACCATAAGTAAGTTTTTTGTGGTCAATTAAGGAGTGTCTTTAATTATTATGTGACCACCACTGTATGTACTCAAAACATTAAATGAACTGTGTTTTCGTTTCGACTAATGATTTAATATAGATTAATTCTACCTATTATTCCACCGTGTGCTAAACCTACTCTATCTATTTTCAAAGGATTAAAAAAAATCTTGGCTAAGAGGTAAGAAATGCACAATTTTTATACACCTATTATTTAGTAGTAATTTACTACCAAAAGTTTAGGCCACCAGACTTTCTGATATTCCTTTCGTCTCGGAGTTATAACGTGCATAAGTGTCAGCGGACGAGAGGATTTAGGGACCGGTACTAATAATTGCTATGTTCACACGCACATGGTGCCCGCGACTTGATATGTGTGGAAAAAATGGTTCCCCATACAAACTTCCGACCCCCTTTTCATCACCTTACTGAATGATTTCTGGAGTAAAAACTATCCTACGCCCTTTCCCGTGAGTCAAACTAGATCTATACAAAATTTCATCTTAATCGGTTCAGCGGTTTGAGCGTGAAAAGGTAACAGACAGACACACTTTCATATTTATAATATTAGTATGGATTATGGAATGGATCATTATTATGTATAAAAGGTTCAGTACAATACAAGGTTAATAAATATATGTAATACTAAAAAGGTACTGGTACATGCCCAATGTAATATAGAAAAGGTATGAAATATAAACGTATAGAGTGAGCTCGCCAGTTGAGGTGCAGCGTTGTTTATACATTGTGTCCCATTTTGTGAACACCCAGTGGCCTGCTTAACAGTTTTATAACACTGAGATTTCACGACATTTTAATTTGTTACTTTGATGTTTGATACGACGAGAAGGAACGATATGTGGGATTTTATATTAGACAAAATAATAATTATGAATGAGACAAGGCAATACTGCCATAAAATTGCACACAGTGTGGATTGATACTGCATCCGTCTTAGGCAAAACACCTAAGAGTGATGTGTCTACTTGAGTAACCAATTATATGATCATCCTTCTTATTTTGGACCTTTAAGTCACGGAACTTTAAGTATATTGCTTAATTATACCACGCGATTACCTTGAACTGAACTTAGAAATTGAACCAAAACTGAAAAAAAAAATGTATCTACTTGGGATACTTTGATATAATGCAGGGCAGGATAAAATTAAAGAACCTTCGAATATCCATCCATATACTCATACGAGAAATGAGAAGCTATGTCTGTCTGTTACGCTTCCGCACCAGAACAGCTCTGATTTGATATGATATGTTAAAGAGGGTTCCACCTCCAAGAAGAAAATAAGATACATTTGTCTCGAAAATATAACTTGGAGGTGATGCAATAGAAAATGAAAGTTTGTTACACCAATTATTAAATATGCCATCGTTGTGGAGACGGCCAAGGCTCGCATCCAACTCCAGTCCTTATGCATCTAGGGAGGCCTTACAATTAACGAAAGTCAGATTGGGACAAGACGCCTGCTAGCCCCCAGACCCGACCGCGGGATAAAGGCGGACGCCTTGATGAGGCTGCACCATGAAATAAATGGTCCGTGGGAATTTGGAGATTACGCAGACCGGAGAAGACCGCGGACTTGCGATTCCGAACTGGAGGAGTCCACCATAATGGAGGGAGTGAAAGACGTAAAAGGGGGGCTGCCCCACCAACAAAGTGAAGGTAGGGGTAATTCGCCCCGAGCCGGGCGTATGGCTACCACTGTAAGGTGTCCGGAGTAGGCCACTAAAATAATGGCTAAGGGGGAGAAAGTCAAGGTGAGATCTCCATCTCATCACCCAGGGTCCTACATACCTCTCCTCTTCTCCCCTCCTACGAACATTCCGTGGACTTCGGTTACCGTAATGTGTTCTGTAGGTAGGGTTACCAACTTTTTTTCTATAAATATAGTATTTTCGAAGCTGTTGCCTCTAAAAAAATATTAGATGACAAAAAAATGGAAAATAATATAGTATATCGTTAAAACAGTGAGTATATTTTTGTTGCTCTATACCTTAATACTTCAGTTTTTCTTTTAAGAAAGAAAGCTTTTACTGGCAACAGTCTAAATATAGAAGTTTCGCCTATTATATTTTTTTTTAGAAATATAGTATTTGATCACCTAATATAGTAGGATACTATATTAGGTTATATAGTAGGGGTGGCAACCCTGGCTGTAGGAGTATTATGCTGGGGCTGAAAGCAAAGAGTGGGGAGTTTACTCATACCCTGTTCGCGCTACTCCCGGTGCGGTGGTTCAAGGAGGCGTAATACCTTTTCCAGATTAAAAAAAAGGTCAACTTTTTTCATACAAAAAAAGAAGTTCACACAGCTAACAATGAAGGAACATGACTCAATGCATCTTAATTAATTAAACACATCATCAATTATTTACTAATTCAAAAATATACATGTCGCAATTATAGTAAGTACACATTCAACTGCGTTTTTGCATTTTGCGAATGCTCAAAATATATTTGTATGATTAAATAATAATTTCATATTGAGGTAAAACAATAACTCAATGTAATTCTAACTTCTTTAATTCAGTTTAGGCTTTTACAAGCACATGTGAAAGTCGAAAGCTTTGCTGATGATTGTTATATTCATACGAGCCACTAATCCGTACCGGACAAGCGGGGTGGGTCATTTGTTTATTTATCAAACTTACAGTCATGGCCCAATCTCCCGATTCCATCCATAGGGAAGGGCTGCGCCCCAGTAGTGGGGACGTTAATAGGTTAATGATGAATCATAAGTAGGCATAATATTATTGAGATTTGACTTTTCAAATAAAAAAGGTAGAAAAAAGCAGCCTCTGCTGAGTTTCTTCCTGGTTAGATTATAATATAATATATTTAACTTATTTTAAAGATATATTTTTTGTAGATATTGGTATCCTCTATAAAACGTTAGTACATCACTTTGCTCTATTGTCAATGACTTCCGCAGCGAAAGCGATATAAGGCTATTTTTTGGTATTTTTTACACACTTTGGGATACATTATCGAAGTTTTCATACGGAATCCTAACTTCTTTGAAAATACACTATAGCCTATAATATTCAGTGATAATGTAGCATTCAAATGGTGAAAGATTTTTTTAAATAGGTTCAGTACTTTTTGAGCCAATTCGTTACAAACATACTTACATACAAATCTTTCCTCTTTATAATATTAGTATAGAAGTATAGATTTTGCGAAGCGTTCGTCGACGCAAGGACGATCGAACGACTTTAATGAAAATGAAAGGTATGAATAAATCACATCAAAATGTATCGAAATTTATCCACGGTGACGAGCAATCCAGGGCAAGGGCCTATGTGATCGTACAATACGAGAAAAAACAAGAAAATCTGCCCGCAGCTTATCCCCAGTAAAAGATATACTTTTAATAATTGGAATTTTTATACCAATCATTAATAAGAACAAATTATGTAGTTAATTATATTTAGGGCCTGTTTCACAATACCTAGGATTTCCGCGAAAATTTCGTTTGTCTAATCATCCTAACTACGACATACACATCATAAAGAAGCACTAAACTTTGAAACAGTCAATAGCTGGCACTTGTAACACTTGCAAACGTACCTTTAAGCATTTAAGACAGAAGGTGTGCTGACAGGGCAGGACGCGGGACGAGGTGTCCAGCCGCTCCAGACACACAGAGCACTCGAGTAGGTCGTTCAGCAGACCTTCGTCCATCCCTGGTGGGCCTGGAGCAAACCAAATACAAACAAATAAATATACATGTTCATTATTATTTTTTTTTATTTCACACCAATTAGCCTAGCCCCAAAGTAAGCACTATAAGGCTTGTGTTATGGGATGCTAGGGTAACGGATAGAATATATAAACTGTACATATATAAGTATATTTATAAAGAAATAGATATTAAACATCCATGACTGGAGTACAAATGCTCATATTCATCACACAAACATCTGCCCCTACCGGGATTCGAACCCAGGACCTCTCGAGTCGGCGCACATACAGGTATTTACACGATCTACGCGGCCAAAAGTGCGAAAATCAAAATAACAATAATATTCCTAAACTCGAGTTCCAGGAACGGAGTGCGGACCCGAGAACAATACCCGTGCCCTTTCTACCTGCTACCGCGCAACCCGCACCCGTAGCGTCAGTCGGAATTTGACCGTGTCACCTAGTGTACATATCTGTTCTCGGCGATTTTCTAAACACCAAACTTCCAAAGTGAATTTTTGTGTTATCGAGTTCTTCTTTTGAATCAAAAGTGATGGATTCTGATGAACAAGGTAAGGGACTAACAAACTATATAAATAAAGTTTTTATCAGTTATTGTAATACCAATTTATTTTTATGATAAAAATACTCGTTTTCGTACCGTGATTTCTTTTATATTTTTCTGTTATCAGTGTTTTTGTTTATGTATCGTGGTAGATCGGGCTATGATTTTTATTACAGTTTATTATTTGATCCTTTTGCTTACAATAACTATCAAAATCTTATCCGGAAACGTCCGGATAAAAACAGTTTCCAGGGATTAAAGATGTTTAAAAAAAACGCTTAAAATTAGAAATATTTTCTAGCGACTTCTAACATAGTATTTGTTTGTTTTAGGTAGAGAGGGTTCATCAGGAGTAAGGATTGTGACCCGACAGTACTTGTTTGACCGCATGAAGAAGGAAAATTTGCCTAATTTGGATGCCAAACTAATGCCCGGTTTCTGAAGTACTTTTATCGGTGGTTTATCTGTTCGATAACGCTATTGGTTCGATAACCTAGACAAATGCGTTTCCGAACAACGCATCGTATGTTAAACTCCGTTTAAACTAAGATCAACTTAACTGGCCATTTTGTACCGTTTATCGATTCCATAACTTTAACTGACGCTTATGGACATTAGTTTGAGGTTATTTTTCATGTTATTTATTAAAGAAGAGTAGTCGTATTGTTTACAGTGACAACTTGATTTCAGTTTTTGTGAGATAGTTTATTACTTGAAAGTTTATATTTATACCTATAGCAATGGATAGTAGCATTATAAATATGAGCAGCTCATCCGAGTCTGATTTGGAAGCATTGGAGTTGGTTTCTATTATATCAGTGCCAAGAAACCTGAGGAATAGGAGAAATCCTTTTGAAATGTTCTCTGATGAAGAATTTAAAATGAGATATCGTTTCGATAAGAACACAGTGATACACTTAAGTGATATTATCAGCCATACTTTAGCCCCCGTAACATATCGCAAACATACATTGTCTGTGTTGGAGCAAGTATTCATCACCTTGCGATTTTACGCTACAGGTACTTTTCAAATAGTGATTGGTGACGATATCAACGTTCACAAAACCACTGTATCGCGCATTGTTTATAAAGTAAGTAAGGAAGTAGCAAAACTTGCTAGACAATATATAGCTTTGCCAAGTTTTGAGGATTTGAGGGAAGTAAAGGCACACTTTTACAATATTGCTGGATTCCCTAATGTAATTGGTTGTGTCGATGGCTCACACATACCAATTCAGTCACCTGGGGGTGAGCAAGCAGAATTATACAGGAACAGAAAAGGTTATTTTTCTATCAATGTACAAGTTGTGTGTGATGCAAAGTTATATATACGTGATATAGATGCTCGCTGGCATGGATCAACACACGACAGTACTGTTTACCATAACTCATTCCTACGAGCGCGCCTAGATAATAATGAGATAGATGGCCATCTTCTAGGCGACAGTGCTTATGCTTGTGGAAAGTACATGATGACGCCATTTCTAAATCCAATAACAAATGCAGAAAAACGTTACAATGAAGCACAAATCAAAACCAGAAACACAGTTGAAAGGACATTTGGTGTTTGGAAAAGAAGATTTCCTTGCCTTTCTCAAAAGTTAAGGTTAAAACTAAATCACACATTAGCTGTGATTGTGGCTACAGCTGTATTACACAATATAGCTCTACAGCAAAATGACACTGTGTTGATTGATCATGTTCCTGAAGAAAATATTTTTACAGAACCTAATGAACAGCACCTTTCTTCAGAAGGAAACTATTTTCGTCGATTGTTGTTAGAACAGTATTTTAGGTTAGTATAGGTACATACATCCTGTTTATATCATAATAATTTTATAGGAATGCAAAATAAACAAGAATAGCACAGTAACAAGTGTTTTCTATAATTATCTCATATAAATTTACATTAAGACATAATTTAACACATTATCACTATGATAAATTGAAATTTTTCTTTTTAAATTCTAAGTCCATTTTTGCATTTTCTAATAGAGTTTGCTTTAATTCAATGTCCAAATCCAGTAGTATTTTAGTTTTTTCTAGCTTTAAAACTTCTTGTTGCCGCTGAATCTCTAAAATTTCCAACTTTTTTGTGGTGATTGTATCTTCATTAATCTGTTTCTGATTTTTTCTTTTTATTATAGATTCACTTAAATTATGAATGGACTTCTTTTTCATTTCAGTTAAACAAACTCTCTTTATTTTTGGAGTGTCTTCTAAGAGCGGAGTAAGAGGCCTTTTAGAAGATCCTACATGTCTCGGAACAGATGGGATTTCTGGCACGGAGTCTTCTTTTTCTTCCACTATAACCAGAAAGTCTTGCGAAGTGTCAACTTGGGAGTTCGCAGATTCTTGTGTTTCAGGAACTGTAATTAATATTTAAGATAAGTAAGAATTGATCTGGTGCGAGTCGTATTTTTTCTAGTATATTATTTAGTATTGATAAAATAGCATTGTAAATGCATAAAATCTCAAAATTTAAAAAAGTAACAATCATTTACAAATTGCAAAATATGTGATTGAGTGTAAATTTAAAAAGTTACTGACAATTGTGTGTTAATTGTTGTGATATGAATGACAATAAACAGACCTGCCCCCCTACCGCGTAACTTTATGGACATCAAGCTAATTTTAACACTGAATCATTTTTTTGGAAACGCTAATGTGGTTTAAGTCACAATGTTTCACTGTATATTACACTTTGTTTGAGCTTCGGCTATTTACGAGTATCTATAATGTTTACACTGCATGCTCTTTTTCAAAAGCTAAAAGGTATGAAGTTCATACCCATAATCTTACGCGGTAGAGCCCCTGTTCTTTGGTAACACATGGAATGTTGTAAAACAACAACTTTAAACCATCCTTTTGTAATTATCATCAAATATTTTATATATGGTGTTAATAAATTATTAAGGAATTTTAATAACCGTTTCTTTTGACTAAGGCCTACAATATAAAAGTTTGTGCTTACCTAATTTGTAATATGGTGCTGACGAGTCAAATTCATTGAGTAGCGGTTTGAATTGGGGTGTTAATAAGGCTACAACTTTTTCATCCACTGTGGTTGTTTTTGGACAAAATGTACCACCCCCTGTCTTGTACATTTCAGACTGGAATAAGCAATAAACATAAATTATTATTTTTTATTTGGTTTATAGTCAAACAACAATATAAATATAATTATATAACTGATGCATAGTTGTCTACAAAGTGTAGTAATAGTTTTATTCATAATTCTGCTAGACAAGTCATAGTTTAAACATTATCTATATGAATTATTTCGCACCTGATTAATTTAAAATATCAGAGTTATTGATCACAAAAGTCAGAACTTACCTTGTCATCACTCATATTTTTTCTGGCTTTCTTCTTCAGGTTATCATACAAAGCATGCAACTGCTTTTCGGTCCGTACTCCTGTTTCCGAGATAGCATTATATTTTGAGGTTAATTGTATCCAAGCTTGTTTTTTGGCCTCAATAGAACTTCCATCAGTCTTTTTATTATCAATTATAGATATAAAATCTTTGGCTACTTCAATGAGAAGCATCTTTTCCCTCTCTGTGAAATTTTTACTGCGTTTGCCGGGTTCCATTATTTGCCAATTACAAACAAAAAATATACACTAACTTTAAAGAGATTGAATTATGTAAAGCGCGAAATTACTATTACCAATAAATACCACACGAAGAAAGGTAAACAAACAATGGGATCTCTCTGTCAAATCATGAATTTGACGTTTACTTTTTTGTGATTCGTCGAAGACTTCTTTCTATATACAACCACAGAAAAAATGTGATGTCGTTAATTTATAATAAAAATGTGTAGAGTGACCTATTTAATTTTATAGAAATATTGATATAATTATTACCGATATTCATGTTGAATTAAGATAATAAAACTTATTTTTAGTATAGCATGGTAATCAGACCCATCTAGCGACCGTTAAAAGAACTAGTTATCTGTCAAATAGTTATCGAACCGTGCTTTGTGTATTCAGAAACACACTGGCAGTTAAACGACGTTTATCTTTTCCACAACTTTAACTGGTCAATAGCTATTGGGGGTTTAACTAGTGACTTCAGAAACCGGGCATTAATCATCTAAAAGATCAACTTTTGTCAAGTGAAGGTTACAATGAAGACCAAATTTTTAATTTAAAACGTAGTTTTGCCCATTTCAAATCAGAAATCAAACAAAGGTGGACGAAAGCTCATTATAAAGAAGATAATTTTATAAAATATAACCAGTCTTGGCTGGAGGGTACTTTTGAAATACCTGTAGCTAAGACTTTACAAAAACGGCCAGGTCGACCATCGAAGTCGTTCGAAGACGCAAGTGAGAGGAGCAAAAGGCGAAAGACTGAAGAACTTCGTTCTAATTTTGACAAGGATATCATAATACATGCTGCGCAACAAGAACTCGGTAAATCTGGTAAAAAAGA